TAGCTGCTACTGCTGCTCAGAAGGTGGGTTTCCCACCAGCCAAGGTGGCTCAGTGGTTGAGCATCGACCTGTGAACCAGGAGGTCAGGGTTCGATTCCCGGTCAGGGCACAGGCCCGGGTTGTGGGCTCGATCCCCAGTAGGGGGCGTGCAGGAGGCAACTGATCCATATTTCTATCTCTCCCTCTCCTTCCTCCTCTCGCTGAAATCAATGAAAACATATTCTTTAAAAAGAGGAAGACAGGTTTCCCTGCTCCCTTTCTCCTTGGGAGGGAGAAGAAAGGCCCGGCAGCTCCTGTGACGGGCGGCCCCGCCTCTGAGGGGGCAGCCAGGGCCTGGTGAGCACCATCATCGCAGCCCCATCCCGGCAGCACTGAGCCCAGAGCCAGGGGCTGTGCCGAGCACCTGCCTGCCCAGCAGAGCGCTCCCTCCGGGGAATGTCGCCCAGGCTTCCCTGGCACCTGCTCCGTGAGGAGCTGGGGAGACGGGCCCTCCGCCTGCTGGGCAGGCAGCTGGGCCAACGGGAGGAAAAGGCACGTGTGCAGTGACCCTGTGGCTGTGAGTGTGGCCGGAGGCTAAAGGGGGGGACACCCAGGAGACACCCCAGACCCGCCTGGGGAGAACCGGCAGGTGGGGTGCCATTCTCCACCCCGTTCAGGAACCTGCAGCCAGTGGCAGGGGGGCTGCTGTGAGGTGGCAGGGCCTGCGTGGGCGTCTTTGGGATTAAATGGCCACAGGGGAGAGCCCAGCCGGCGTGGCTCAGGGGGTGAGCATCGACCTGTGAACCAGGAGGTCAGGGTTCGATTCCCGGTCAGGGCACAGGCCCGGGTTGTGGGCTCGATCCTCAATGTGGGGCGTGCAGGAGGCAGCGGATCCATGGTTCTCCCTTATCATTGATGTTTCTGCCCCTCTCCCTTCCTCTCTGAAATCAATACAAACATATTCTTTAGCACCCAGGTCAGTTCTGTCAGAGCCTCTAAGGCAGTGGTTCTCAACCTTCTGG